CCCCGCTTGGCTTGGCCCGTCCTTACTAAGAGGTAAGGCCTGGGCCAAGGGCCTTGACCGGCCTCTTGCCACCTTTAGAAGAACCAACGTTGTCAGGTTCGCTTCGGAGTCTCTTTCGGTTTGGTGAGAAAAATGAAGCAATTCGATGCTTAGGCCGATTCAGGAGAAGACTTCGGATTGTTTTAAAAAAAGTAATAGAAATAAATTAGATATTTATATAAAATATATATACAAATAATGGAAAAAATTTTAAAATAAAAAAAAACTTTTATATAGCTATTTTTTTACTGGCCGAAGCCGACGTGAAGCATATCCGAATCTGATCGAAGCAGCATGAATTTGATGGAAAAAATTTTAAAATAAAAAAAAACTTTTATATAGCTATTTTTTTACTGGCCGAAGCCGACGTGAAGCATATCCGAATCTGATCGAAGCAGCATGAATTTGACCGAAATAGCAGCACCAGACGTTGCTTCGATTTATACCTCAAATCCGAAGGCTTCGACGGAAGCGAAACGAACTTGTTAACATTGAGAGGAACATAAGAGAGACAGAGTGGTTGGGGCCTCATGACCATAACTACGCTCAGCATATGTGGCTCGCATGGAGACAAAATGTTCAATCTTATTTTTAAAGAGAGAGAGAGAATTTGGAGAGAGAAAAAACAAATGGGGGCAAAGTATCTAAATCAAGTGGTGGGGGGCCATGTCTCATCCTCTTGTTAATAGGTTTAGAGGGGGAGACAAAAGATCTTTTGGTGAACCCCTTCGCCCACGCAAGGACGAAGCCCACATTTGTTATTTTCCCCCGTTTCGTTTCTCCTTCCTTTTGTTCTTATTTTGGTGACGGCGACTATTTCTTGTCGGCGGTCAAAATCAAAGCGCACTTCCTTCCCTCTCTCATCAAATCAACGCAAAACAAAGCAAAGCAAAGCAAAGCAAAAGTAAATCAACCAAATCCTCCTACCATTTTGACAATTTACTTCACCTACCCTCCATCCATTTCTCACTCACCACCTGCTCTCTCCAAATAATTCCAAATATCAAGTATCTCATCGTTATTAGAGGTCGCAATTTGGTCGGGTCGGGCCGGGCTTAGGTCCAGCCGAAAATATATTAGGGGACCCAGACCCAGATCCAAAGTCCCTTTACCCGAACATCAATTGATAATGTGGGACCCACACCCAACCTGAAAATCGAGTTTTACATTTTTTAAAAAATGTATATTTAACTTAAAAAACAAGGAGAGGGACTACCTGGATTTGAACCAAGACCCGGACCTGGAAGGTATTGGACGGGACCCGACCCATCCAGTCCAACACCTTGGCCCATACCCGGACCTGGGGTCGGGTACGTTCTCGGGTTCACAGGTCCCAATTGCCACCCCTAATCAATATGTAAAGTAGAAATTTATTGTAGAATGTAAAAAAATATTTTCAATATTTTATATTTTATACGTATGTTGCAACTTTCAATAGCATGTCTTGTATTCCAATTTTTTTTATACATACAATTAAGTTCAATTTCTGGGTGTTTCTCTCATCATCACACACATGTAAAAACTATAAAAAAGATATTTCAATAAAAACAAAGTTTTAATGATATCTCTAAAGTTTTGGGGTTCTTTTGGTTATTTTAGTAATTTTATTTATTTCAAATTAACTTTACGGCATTAAAAAATATGGATTCTCACTGTTTGAGTTTGCTCTTATGTAGGAAATAAAATAAAATTAAAAATACAGGACATACACCATTTTAAAAATAAAAATAAAAAAGACATTCTCTCAAAGAGTGGGACGTGAGAATGAAGTATAAAATATTAGAGACGCTTTAAATTCTGCAAAAGATAGGGACACTTACTATAATTTCCATATGAATAAAGACATTACATGATCATTGGTTTGGTTTTAATTGGTAAGATGTGGGCGTCACAACGATTGTCTCAAAGTTTATATAGAACGGAAAGATGCCATTTTGCAGGCTTTTTTTACATTAAATTTGGAAACGATGTAGACCTTCTTTTCAAATTTGTTTTTTTTTTTTGAACGGCTCTTTAAAAATTTGTTATACATCGCTTTTTATGACCTACTGCAATTGCAGTATAAATGACCAAGTGTTCGATTATTCAAGCCAGCCTATACGGACTCGTCCGATTAACTCGCCTCGCCACTCTAACGGGTCCGAGTATCTTCAAGTTAGGTGTCCAACTCATGGATCATTAAATAAATAAAAATTAATAATAAAAAATAAATAAAAATTAAGTAAATTTAATTTT